AAGGTAGTGTTAAAAATAAATAATAAAATGGAAAAAAAAAAAAAAAAAGGTGCGGTGTTGAAAATAAATAATAAAACGGGGGGGGGGGGGGGAATTAAAGGTACAGTGTTAAAAATGAATATTAAAATGGGGGGATAAAGGTAGTGTCAAAAATAAATAATAAAATGGGAAAAATTAAATAAAGGCGCAGTGTTAAAAATAAATAATAAAAAAGGGGGAAAAAAAATTAAAGGTACAGTGTTAAAAATAAACAAATAATAAAATGGGGGGGGGAGAAAAAAATTGGAGCGCCCCGTCTCACCCCCATACAAAGGTTTGGTATCTATTTATTTGGCGTAACATCATCTTTTATATTTTAGCAGTTGGGTATTATATTGTGTTTTGGCGCAATAAAATTCATTAAACTGTGTTTTTTATTTACAAAAAATTTGCATATGAAAGCCGCCGTGCAAATATTGTGTGACATACAAAATACGAAACCCCCACCACGTTATTCTCTAGGGCCTCTGCTTAAAAAAATTAAATAATAATATATAATGAAAAATAAAAAATATATGTTTCGGGGTTCTTAAAAAAAAAAAAAAAAAAAAAAAAAAAAAAAAAAAAAAAATATTGATTTTTTTTTTTTCTACATGTAGGAGAGGAGTTAGCCCATCAATATGCCGCCATGCTTGTACCAGGAACAGTGATTTATAACTCATCAAATTAAAAAAAAAACTGTCGCAGATTTGAGAAGTGGGAGGGGCCAAGAAGGACACAAGGCATACTTTTGCTTCTGGTTGGAGGTTTCCTTTAGCCGCCTAACCCCAAACCCCCCCCCCCCCCCATGCAAGCTGTTCGGTTACTCACGTATACTCCGGCCACCACCGTGACACCGCCCACAGCGAGCCCATAAAAAAGACTTCCAGGCTGGCCAGGGTTTGCAGAATTTCCAGAATATCTCAGGAGTTGCTTGGCAGGTGAAGACGAGTGCTGAAGTAAGGAACCTGCAATAATAGGGGGATGTCAGAAGAGGGCGCTCCACGTCACTGACTGCATGTATGGAGATAATCCCGGCAGCAAGAATTACCACCCCATCTCCCACCCCCCCATATGTTTATAGGGCCTCCAGCTGCTGCCAAACTACAAGTCCCAGGAGGCATTGCAAGATTGACAGTTACAAGCATGCCTTCCAAAGGCAGAGGCATGATGGGACTTGTAGTTTGACACCACTGATCTAATACATCAGATACTGCAGAAAGGGAAACTGCTACAATGTTGCAGAGATGGATCTACGTTGGGGGATCAGTTGTTCATCTGATAGACCTGATACACACCACTGCGATTCATCACGCGATTTGACAGTTAAAAAAAAAGAAAAAAAAAAAAAAAAAAAAAAAAAAAAAAAAAAAATCGCATGACAAGCCACACCCCATACAACTGTTTACACCGTTGCGACTCAAGTCGCAGCGACTTGAAAAAAAGAGTTCCTGCGCTGCTTTTCATTGATTTCTGTTAAAGTCGCAAGGCACAAAATCGCACTGATCGGCGGCTTTGAAGTTGCTCTGAAGTAACGAAATTTCAAAGCCGCACCAGTGTGAGCCAATGAGAATGCCCCATTCACACTTTATGTAACTCACGTTTCCACTCACGATTTATATGTGATTCCACGCGTCGCGCTTAGGGCAGGTCATTCGCTTGGGTGGGCATGTCCTCCCATGGAAGAAAAATATATTTGAAATATATTTTAAAAATATTCTTCCCAACTATATTGCCATATATTTAAAATGCTACAATTTTGTCCGTATTCAATATATTTCAAAATATATTTAAAAAAAAAATTATATTATCTATATATATATCCCTATATTGTAGTATTTGTCATGATAAAAAAAAAACCAAATATTGACATATATTTGAAATACTACAATTTTCGCCATATTCAATATATTTAAAAAAAATAAAAATAAAATAATAATAATATAATATATATATATATATATAAATTAATTATACAGTATTTATAAAGCGCCAATAGTTCCCTCAGTGCTGTACATTACAAAGGGGACAGAACATGTGACAGATATATATATATATACACACACACACACACACTGCATGCTGAAATGCGTTGTTATTACAAAATATATCAAAAATATTTTTAAAAATACATTTTCAATATACTGCATGTCTTTAAAAATACAAATCTACATTTTTGGAATGCATTTACAAACATATGTAAAAATATGTTAAAATGACTTTTTTTCTATGTTAAAATAATCTGAAGAATATATTTTAAAAAAAATTGATTTTTAAAAATACATATTTTTAAAATATATTCTTCAAAATTTTTTTAACATATAAAAGAGTCATTTTAACATATATTTTTACATATGTTTGTAAATGCATTCCAAAAATGTAGATTTGTATTTTTAAAGACATGCAGTATAGTTGAAATGTATTTTTAAAAATAATTTTCATATATTTTGTAATAAAAACGCATTTCAACATACAGTATATATGTATGTGTGTATATAATTTTTTTTTTTTAAATATATTGAATATGGCCAAAATATACATACAGTGTGTATATATATATATATATATATATATATATATATATATATATATATAAATACATTTTGAAATATATTGAATTTGGCCAAAATTCTAGCATTTCAAATATATGTATATTTAAAATATTCTTCCCAAATATATTGACATATATTTAAAATGCTACAATTTGGCCGTATTCAATATATTTCAAAATATATTAAAAAATACATAAATATATATATATATATATATATATATCCCTATATTATAGTATTTGTAATGATAAAAAAAAAAAAACAGCATATACCCACATAGTAGAAAAATATATTTTAAATGTATATTTAAAATATTCTTCCCAAATATATTGACATTTAAAATATATTTTTCTCCTATGTGGGTATATACTGTTTTTTTTTTATCATGACAAATACTATAATATATAGGGGTATATATATATATATATATATATATATTTATGTATTTTTAATATATTTTGAAATATATTGAATATGGCCAAATTGTAGCATTTTAAATATATGTCAATATATTTGGGAAGAATATTTTTAAAACATATTTCAAATATATTTTTTCTTCCATGTGGGCTATGCGTGTTGGTCGCCCAGAAAAAGCTCCTGCTCCTTTGCGAGCGACGACCTTAACGCGGGGTTTTTTTTTTTTTAAGCCTCGTTTTGCAGCGCAATTCTGTCCCGTGGCAATAATCGCATCATGTTAGAGTTGCCGTTTAGAATGAATGGCGCCAAAAAGCGTATTGCACATTTTGCAGCGATTACGTGGGCAGAATCACGCAGATTCCAAAATCGCCAAGCGTGAAAGGGGATGACTGCATCGCAGTCACAGCGTGGCCCCACCCACTTGAGTAGGTCGTGTCCGATGGGCGGTAGTGTCCACCAAGTGTGACGGGGGTGGGGGTTACAATTCCTGTTGGATTTCGCCGCGATCCAATTTGTGTATTTTTTTAAGCGCGCGTTTGTCGTGCGTTTTTTGCATGCAGCAAAACGCATTCACGTCCGCCATTTGTGGCTCAACTAAAACAGTTAATGGCCCCACAAGCGCAATGTGCGTATCCCGCAACGCGCAGGTGTGAAAGAAGGCTAACACGAGGACTCCGCTCACCTCTGGGCGATCTGGGGACGTGAAAAAAATGTGCGTCACGCTCGCAGCGCCATTCATTATTAATGGGACTCCAAATACGGGAATTAAATGTGCATTTTGGCGCAAACAAAAATGAACGGTTGACAAAAAAAAACCCTGCGCAATCCAGAATGCGGCAAAATGTTGTGCCGTGAGTAGCGCACCTTGTTAAAATTAACGGGCTGCCCTATGGGTTTTGTGAAAAATAAATGCGCAGGGTATAAAAAAAAATTGTGCGTTTCAAGCCGCTGCGGGCGAATGGGGCCTACAAGTTGTTTCACCTGCTGTTAATTTTGTATGCAGAGATGCTTTTTTGGGTGGGGGTCCTCCTTTAAGCCAGTTTTGAGAAATTTCCCCCCACTTCCTGTTGTGTCTGCTGGACAGGAAGTGAAAGGAATTCTCCCCATGGGGACACGGATGGCAAAAAAAAAATGAAATAATAATCCTTGGTTGGCCTTTAACCCTTGCCTGTTGGCTTTTAATCCCCTTTAATGGACATATGGCAATGGCTGGTCACGTGACCTCCCCTATAATAAGAACACCTGAAGGGTAAACCCCAAGCCAATAGGAATGAAGCTATGAGGAGCCCGCGAAGGGGCTAATGGCGGCCGGGACACTCACTGCTGGGGGCCCGCAGCCTCCTCTGGCTCTGTAAGCCGCCTCTGGCCGTCCTCAGCCCCAGCACCACTCTACAGAGCGCCATCTCCTAGCCACAGGTCGCGCCGGCGTCCTTCCTCTACACTGCTTCCCGTGCGAGGAGCGCCGGACGCCATCTTTACTAAGGGCAAAATGCCCTCTTATGCTTCATATTTAACGCCAAAATCAGAAACCAGACCCGGTAGGGCGATGTTCCTGTAGATACGAGAACGGCTGTATAGGACAGATTTCGTTTTGAGGCGCGTTTATCGGTGGGAGGTTGGTGCCCGTGAGCCGCCATCTTGACTCAGGGCAACATGCCCTCACTCTCCCGCTCCAAAATCTGAAACCAGCCCAGGGGGTGTGACGCTATCGGAGATAAAGGGGAGGCTCTATAGGTTAGACTGTGTTCTGAGCTTGTTTTATTGGGTGTGAGATATGTGTGGGCGCATGTGGGTCGCCATCTTCGCCGAGGGCAAACTGCCCTCACCTAGTCGATTTATATTTAACTCCAAAATCGGAAAGCAGCCCGGAGGCTGCGATGTTATCGGAGATAGGAGGATGGCTGTATATGTCACATTGTATTTTGAGCTGGTCTTATCGGGGTGAGGGGGGTAGGGGTGCACGTGGGTCACCCGGCGGGGTCAGGCAGAGGAGAGGAGTGCCCGGTCGATGACATGCGCTGGCTGTACGGGCGGCTGGTCGGCCGATGGTGCTCGGTGGGCTTCAGCAGGAAGATCAGCTATGGAGGGGCGGCGGGGGGTCGGCTGATCACCACCCCGATCTTCTATGTGAACGCCGCCCCGCACCTGGGACACGTCTACTCCGCCGTGCTGGGGGGACTGCCTGCACCGGTACACCGGACTGTGCGGGGGGCACAGCGGCCTGAGCACCGGTGAGACACCACCAATCAGATCAGTCACCCCGCTGTCCTCCAATCATAGCGATCATGGCTCTCCTACCAGATCCAGGCTGATTCCCCCCCAATCAGATCCAGGCTGATTCCCCCTTCCGGGAGCCAAGGAGCCTGGATCTCCACCAATCAAATCTGGGTTGCAACCCCCCCACAAGCTGTGACCCCCTCTTTCCACCAATCAGATTCAGGCTGCCCCCCCCTCTTTCCACACCAATCAGATCCAGGCTTCAACCCCCCCCCCCCCCCCCAAAGCTGTACCCCTCTGTCCACCAATCAGATCCAGGCTGACCCCCTCCCGGGAGCCAAGGAGCCTTTATCTCCACCAATCAAATCCAGGCTGCAAACCTCCTCCCTCCAAGCTGTGCCCCCCTCTCTCCACTAATCAGATCTAGGCTGACCTCCCCCACCCTCCCGGGTGCCAAGGAGCCTGGATCTCCACCAATCAAATCCAGGCAGCAACCCCCCCCCCCAAGCTGTGCCCCCCTCTTTCCACCAATCAGATTCAGGCTGCCCCACAGCCAGATCCCTGCTGATATGACCAGATCCCCACTGTCCCATAACCAGATCCCTGCCGATACGACTAGATCCCCGCTGTCCCACAACCAGATCTCTACCAATACGACCAGATCCCCGCTGTCCCACAACTAGATCTCTGCCGATACGACCAGATCCCCGCTGTCCCACAACCAGATCCCTGCCGATACGACCAGATCCCCCGCTGTCCCACAACCAGATCCCTGCCGATACGACCAGATCCCTGCCGATACGACCAGATCCCTGCCGATACGACCAGATCCCCGCTGTCCCACGACCAGATCCCTGCCGATACGACCAGATCCCCGCTGTCCCACGACCAGATCCCTGCCGATACGACCAGATCCCCGCTGTCCCACGACCAGATCCCCGCTGTCCCACGACCAGATCCCTGCCGATACGACCAGATCCCCGCTGTCCCACGACCAGATCCCTGCCGATACGACCAGATCCCCGCTGTCCCACGACCAGACCAGATCCCTGCCGATCCCTGCCGATACGACCAGATCCCCGCTGCCTCATGACCAGATCCCTGCTGATATGACCAGATCCTTCTGTCTACCAACCAGACTCCTGTTGTCCCCCCTGCTAGTTCCTTGCTGTCCTACCAGATCTTTACTGCCGTCCAACCAGATCCTGCTTTCCCCCAACTAGATTCCTCTGTCTCCTCAACCAGAGGATACTTACTTTATGGACTTTAAAAAAAAAAAAAAAAAAAAAAAAAAAAACCCTCAAGTATTTGCTCAGCTGTCAGTTATCTATATTGTCTAATATTTCCTATGATCATCGACGCCATCTAGTGGCCATAAGGCAGTGTTGTCCTGAAATACCTCAAGCAGGAATTTACTGCCTTATGGCCACTAGATGGAGCCGACGATCATAGGAAATCTGCATATTATACAATATACTGACAGCAGGATGAAGGATTGTGAAATTTGACTGATTTTTTTTTTTTTTTTTTTTTTTTTTTTTTTTTTTTTTTTTTTATTGAACCCTTTTTTTTTTTTTTTTTTTTTTTTTCTTTTGGTAGGTACTGATGAACATGGCATCAAGGTACAGCAAGCGGCAGCTGCGTTAGGTTTGAACCCATCTGAGCTCTGTTCGAGCATTTCTCAGGAATTCCGTACAATGTTCGATACGATGGGAATATCCTACACCGATTTTATTCGTACGACGGAGCCGCGTCACTCGCGGGCCGTGCGTCACTTCTGGAAGACGCTGGAGGAACGAGGATACATCTACAAGGGGACATACCAGGGCTGGTACTGTACCTCCGATGAGGCTTTTTTAAGTGAGGAACAAACAACGGAGAGCACAGACCCCGGCGGCAACAAAATACGCGTGTCCATGGAAAGTGGACATCAGGTGAGAAGTCTGTGGTCACCTGACCATCGCACCTATCTCTATGGTCGAACATATGTGGACATCCCTACCAATGATGGAGTTCAGGTGTTTCCAGCAAAGGATAATGAGTTCTACAGCATGCAAAGACATTTTAGACAGCTTTGCCTTCCAACCTCATGAAAATATGAAGGCTCTCTACGGGGCACTCCTACCAGTGGGAGGCTCTCCAATAGTGGGAGGCTCTCCACGGGGCTCCAGTGGGAGGCTCTCCAACAGTGGGAGACTCTCCACGGGGCTCCGGTGGGAGGCTCTCCAACAGTGGGAGACTCTCCACGGGGCTCCGGTGGGGGGGGCGCTCTCCCAACAGTGGGAGGCTCTCCACGGGGCTCTCCCACCAGTGGGAGGCTCTCCACGGGCTCTCCCACCAGTGGGAGGCTCTCCACGGGGCTCTCCCACCAGTGGGAGGCTCTCCACGGGGCTCTCCCACCAGTGGGAGGCTCTCCACGGGGCTCCAGTGGGAGGCTCTCCACGGGGCTCCAGTGGGAGGCTCTCCACGGGGCTCCAGTGGGAGGCTCTCCACGGGGCTCCAGTGGGAGGCTCTCCACGGGGCTCCAGTGGGAGGCTCTCCACGGGGCTCCAGTGGGAGGCTCTCCACGGGGCTCTCCCACCAGTGGGAGGCTCTCCACGGGGCTCCGTTGGGAGGCTCTCCACGGGGCTCCGTTGGGAGGCTCTCCACGGGGCTCCGTTGGGAGGCTCTCCACGGGGCTCCGTTGGGAGGCTCTCCACGGGGCTCCGTTGGGAGGCTCTCCACGGGGCTCCGGTGGGAGGCTCTCCACGGGGCTTTCCCACCAGTGGGAGGCTCTCCACGGGGCTCTCCTCCAGTGGGAGGCTCTCCACGGGGCTCTCCTCCAGTGGGAGGCTCTCCACGGGGCTCTCCTCCAGTGGGAGGCTCTCCACGGGGCTCCAGTGGGAGGCTCTCCAACAGTGGGAGACTCTCCACGGGGCTCCAGTGGGAGGCTCTCCAACAGTGGGAGACTCTCCACGGGGCTCCAGTGGGAGGCTCTCCAACAGTGGGAGACTCTCCACGGGGCTCCGGTGGGAGGCTCTCCAACAGTGGGAGACTCTCCACGGGGCTCCGGTGGGGGGCTCTCCCACCAGTGGGAGGCTCTCCACGGGGCTCTCCCACCAGTGGGAGGCTCTCCACGGGGCTCCAGTGGGAGGCTGTCCACGGGGCTCTCCCACCAGTGGGAGGCTCTCCACGGGGCTCCGTTGGGAGGCTCTCCACGGGGCTCCGTTGGGAGGCTCTCCACGGGGCTCCGTTGGGAGGCTCTCCACGGGGCTCCGTTGGGAGGCTCTCCACGGGGCTCCGTTGGGAGGCTCTCCACGGGGCTTTCCCACCAGTGGGAGGCTCTCCACGGGCCTCCAGTGGGAGGCTCTCCACGGGGCTCTCCTCCAGTGGGAGGCTCTCCACGGGGCTCTCCACGGGGCTCCGTTGGGAGGCTCTCCACGGGGCTCCGTTGGGAGGCTCTCCACGGGGCTCCGTTGGGAGGCTCTCCACGGGGCTCCGGTGGGAGGCTCTCCACGGGGCTCCGGTGGGAGGCTCTCCACGGGGCTCCGGTGGGAGGCTCTCCACGGGGCTCCGGTGGGAGGCTCTCCACGGGGCTCCGGTGGGAGGCTCTACACGGGGCTCCGGTGGGAGGCTCTCCCACCAGTGGGAGGCTCTCCACGGGGCTTTCCCACCAGTGGGAGGCTCTCCACGGGGCTCTCCTCCAGTGGGAGGCTCTCCACGGGGCTCTCCTCCAGTGGGAGGCTCTCCACGGGGCTCTCCTGCAGTGGGAGGCTCTCCACGGGGCTCTCCTGCAGTGGGAGGCTCTCCACGGGGCTCCGGTGGGAGGCTCTCCACGGGGCTCTAAATCCCAACTTACATTTGATTCGTTTTTATTCCATGTGGCGTCAGTGAGGGGCTTCGCATGGGGCTCTGGTGGGAGGCTCTTCACCAATGGGAGGCTCTCCACGGGGCTCCAGTGGGAGGCTCTCCCACCAGTGGGAGGCTCTCCACGGGGCTCCTGTGGGAGGCTCTCTACCAGTGGGAGGCTCTCCACGGGGCTCTCTACCAGTGGGAGGCTGTCCACGGGGCTCCAGTGGGAGGCTGTCCACGGGGGCACCAGTGGGAGGCTCTCCACGGGGCTCTCCCACCAGTGGGGAGGCTCTCCACGGGGCTCTCCCACCAGTGGGAGGCTCTCCATGGGGCTGGAAGGATGCACAATTCGCATTGACCATGTATCAAATTTTCTCATTATGGAAGTGGCCAAAGCACTGTGGCACACAGACTGTGGTGCACATACTCCTTTATCATCATCTTAGGAGAATAGCCAGAGGAACCACAAAAGATGAAGAAACGTGTTTCCTTCTAAATCCCAACTTACATTTGATTCGTTTTTATTCCATGGGGCTCCAGTGAGGGGCTTCGCATGGAGCTCTAGTGGGGTGGGGTCTTCCATGAAGACATGGTTTGGCCAGTTTTGGTGAGGAGGAACTTGAATGGTCTAGACTCTAGACCAGGGGTGTCAAACTGGCATTGCGAAACTAAAGCCCCATCATGCCTCTACCTTTGGGAGTCATGCTTGTAACTGTCAATCTTGCAATGCCTCATGGGACTTGCAGTTTGGCAACAGCTGGAGGGCCACCAGTTTGACACCCGTGCTCTAGACGGAGCCCTGACCTCAACCTTATTGAATGCGTTTGGGTTGAATTTGATGGATAGTTGCTAGTCTGGTCTTCTGATCCAACATCGGTACCTGAGCTTAACCCTGCTGAATTGGAATGCCCATCGTGTGCCAGGTCCAGTACCTGACCTCACAAGTGGGCACAAATTCCCACCGACACCCTCCAGAATCTTGTGGAAATCCTCCCCAGAAAGGTGGAGGATGTTCTAAAGGGGGATAACGTGTTCATATTCTCTGCGGTTCTGAAACTGAATGTACAACAAGCTCATACAGGTGTGCTGCTCAGGTGTTCTTGGACCGTCGGACTTGCTGTTGGCCTACTGTATCTGGCAGGTGTCCTAAGCCCTAAAGAAGGGTCAATATAGGTTCCCCCGAAATGTGCTGGCATGTTTTATGAAATATTTGGCTGGAAACACAGTCCTTGGAATTTGATAAAGAGGGTCATGAACACCCCCAACTTTCCTCACTGGTTGCTAAGACACTGTCGGCTGTGTAGCTGACAGCATCCTAGCAACCAATGACTCATCCCCGGCTCATTCAGCTGCAGGCCAGGAAATTCCTGTTGTACCAATACAGCTATTTCCAAATTTGGGTAACGGCCTCTCCAAGGTCCCTGCTGTCAGCTGGTGATTCTCCCATGCTGGCTGCCGAATGGGGCCTGGAATGAGTCATCGGTTGCTAGGAAGCCAGCAGCAGCAGCCAGCATCCTAGCAACCATTAATCTGAGCGTGAAGCACATTCATGGCCAATTCCCAGCACATAGATGCCCCACTCTAAGCACTGGTATGTCTCCGCGTGCCAGTTGCACAAATTTTGGCCGTAAGTTCTCTTAACACGCTTCTGTGTGGTATAGTTTTCCGAAATTAGTCATTGTAAAGTTTTTTTTTTTTTTTTGGTTTTTTTTTTTTTTGGTTTTATGTAACAAACTTATGTCATACTTACCTGCCCTGTGCAATGGTTTTGCACGGAGTGGCCCTGGACCTCCTCTTCTAGGGTCCCCACACCAGCGTTTCCCATGGAGCTCTAGTGGGGTGGTGGTGGGTCTTCCATAAAGACATGGTTTGGTAAGGAGGAACTTGAATGGTCTAGACCAGGGGTAGGCAACCTGCGGCTCTCTAGCTGTTGTGGAACTACATTTCCCATGAGGTATTGCAACATTACAAAACAGTTACAGCTGTGACTTGCAGAGGCATGATGGAACTTGTAGTCCTGCAACAGCTGGAGAGCCGCAGGTTACCTAACCCTGGTGTAGACTCTAGACCAGGGGTGTCAAACTGGCCACCCTCCAGCCGTTTCGAAACTACAAGTCCCATCATGCCTCTGCCTTTGGGAGTCATGCTTGTAACTGTCAATCTTGCAATGCCTCATGGGACTTGTAGTTTGGCAACAGCTGGAGGGCCGCCAGTTTGCACAAGGCAAGTAAGTATGACGGGTGTCAATGGTTTTGCACGGAGTGGCCCTGAACCTCCTCTTCTAGGGTCCCCCACCAGCGTTTCCCATGGAGCTCTGGTGGGGAGGGGTCTTCCATAAAGACATGGTTTGGCCAGTTTTGGTGAGGAGGAACTTGAATGGTCCAGACTCTAGACCAAGGGTTTCAAACTGGCCACCCTCCAGCCGTTGCGAAACTACAAGTCCCATCATGCCTCTGCCTTTGGGAGCCATGCTTGTAACTGTCAGTCTTGCAATGCCACATGGGACTTGTAGTTTGGCAACAGCTGGAGGGCCGCCAGTTTGCACAGGGCAAGTAAGTATGACAGGTGTCAATGGTTTTGCACGGAGTGGCCCTGAACCTCCTCTTCTAGGGTCCTCCAACAGCGTTTTTTGGCTCCTCCTCTTCCTTGTGTGCCCCCATAACCAGCAGCTTGCTACGGGGGGCAGATGTGCAAGCTCGATCCTGAGCCAGGTCGTGTACGTCTATAGACACACACAGTGCAGCCCAGTCATGCCCTGCTCCCTCCTCCTCCCATCATTTGACTGACAGGAGCAGGAGCCAATGACCTTGTGCCTTTACAACCGCTTTAATAAGAAAATATACCACATTTTGGCCAATAGATGGAGCTTACCGTTCTAGGCATTAATCTATTACAGAAAATACGGGGCACAGTTGTGGGTAACATTCGTCCAACGATTGTTTTAGAACTAGTCCCCTTAATTCGGCCGCCATTTTACAATTTCTATCTCTTCTAGGTACACTGGATGAGTGAGGAGAATTACATGTTCCGCCTCTCTTCTCTGCGCCCCGAACTCTTGAAGTGGCTTCAGACAGGCCCTATCCACCCTGCCCCGTTTCTCCGAATAGTGCAGAAGTGGCTGGAAGAGGAACTGCCGGACCTCTCTGTGTCCCGACAGAGCAGTCGCGTAACCTGGGGTATCCCGGTGCCTTCTGACCCAACTCATACTACATACGTGTGGTTGGACGCGCTAATCAATTACCTAACCGTGGCCAATTACCCAGATCCCAGTTACTCCCCGTGGGGCCCGTCAACACATCTCCTTGGAAAGGACATTTTGCGCTTTCACGCGGTCTACTGGCCGGCGTTTTTGCTAGCTGCCGGTCTGCCCCCTCCTGAAAGACTCCTGGTCCATTCTCATTGGACGTGTCAAGGGGTCAAGATGTCGAAGAGCCTCCAGAACGTGATTGACCCCACCGAATGTATTAAGCTTTACGGCAGAGATGGATTCCGCTACTTCTTGCTTCGCAACGGTTCCCCCGAACGCAACTGCGACTTCAACCATGATTCTGTCCGTAATCTGTTGAACTCTGCTCTTGCCGATGCTCTTGGTGGACTTTTGAACCGCTCCACCGCGCCGAGCATGAACCCTGAACAGTGCTGGCCGTGTTACCAGTGCAAGAGCGTGCCGTCGTCGGCCAAAGATCAGCTGGAGACCCTACTTGAGGCTCTACAAGGACTTCCACGGGTAGTAGACCGGTACATGAACACCTTCCAGGTGCACAAAGCATTGGAGGCGATTGATGGCGGAGTGCGCTCTTCTAATGCTTTCTTCCAAAGTCAAGCTCCATGGAAGCTGTTCAAGGGAACAGAAGAAGACAAAGCATGGGGACGTTGTGTTCTCTACCTCACCCTCGAAGCCTTGAGGCTTTACGGCACCCTCTTGCAGCCCGCGGTTCCTGGTCTGGCCCAGACCATCCTTCACAGGCTTGGTGTTGGCCATGACCGTAGAACACTTAAAGGGAATCCGTTTCTTTCCAGCGACTAGGGGGGAGAACTGCAGCTTCCAAGGGCAGAAATTAGGACCGGACTGTGGACTGCTGTATCACCGACTGCTTGGTAAAGAAGAACAGGGGCTGGACAAAGATCTAACCCAGCATGGGGACAGATGGACGTGACGTTAAATGGTCAACGTCTGTTTAACGGCTGTTGTGGTGAAATGTCCGCTAAGGGGGTGCAGTTATTCTGACAGGCCATTTTTTTTTATTATTATTTTTTAAAAAATTTATTTTTATTTTTTTTATTATAATTTTTTTTATATTTTTATTATTTTTTATTGTTATTATTATTTTTAATTTAAATTTTTTTTATTTTTTATAATTTTTTTTTTTATTATATTTTGTTTTTTTTGTTTTTTTTTTTAATTTCTAATTTATTTATTTTTTTTACATTGGTGGGCGCACCAAGGGGTGCACAATGCCTCCACTTCTGCTAATAAGAGCATAGCTAAAAGGTGCACAGAGCTGATTGGAGCTGCTCTGTACCTTGTGATCCTAGTGATGGCCTATTGGAAAGCCCGCCCCCTCCCTCCCACAACAGAGGAAGGAGGAAGATTTAATGAATGAATCCATTCGTATAAATCCCACAGTCCGGCTGCGATGTAAAGGGCCACTGAGCACCAATATTGTGGGATTGTTTTGGGGGGTGTTAAAAATGCCAGCGTTCAGCAATGATGGGGTGAAGGGGGGGTGTGTGTTAAACCCTCTTCACGCCAGCCGCACACAAATGTCCGGCGTCTGGGCCTAGACACCGAGCGGCCGCACATTTGCGTTCTATTAAAAAAAAAAACCTGCTGAACAGGGGCGGACTGACAACTCATGGGGCCCCCGGGCAATAGGGGATCATGGGGCCCCTGTGTCCTTGCCCAAACTCAAAAAAGCCTATGAAAAAGGTACCAGGGGCATCTCATGGGGCCCCCTACTGACCCCAGGCCCTTGTGAAGTGTCCAGTTTCCAAATGGTCAGTCCGCCCCTGGTGCTGAGAGCGTGCTCCCAGGACACACGTCCGGTACTCACGGAAAGGTCCCAGTCTCCCCTTTCGATCGGGACCTTTCCCGATCATGTGACCGCCGCGACAGCGGTCATATGATCCCTAAACCCCGCCCCGGCTTCTGAAACTCTTAAAGGGCCGGGAGGCGCCAAAGTGTTTTGGGTATATCCATGACATCTAGTCCTTGCATGCTGCGCAGTTTCACCACTGCCCTGGGAGGAAAAAGAAAAAAAACTCAAGCCGTCTCAAAAAAAAAAAAAAAAAGACAAAATAAATTTTTTAGTTTTTAGTATTTTATATTATTTGTGTGACATCACCATGTAATTGTCAGTCAAACGATCACAGAACTGAAAACGGAATCAGAGCCTGTTCACGAAAATCTTCCATCACTCCCCCACCCCCCACAAGCAGGTCAGTGTCAGCTAGGGTGACAGTATGTTAAAAAAAAATATATAAAAATGTAAAAAAAAATTTGAAAAATGATAATTTTTGGTTATGAACTAATTTGGGTTAAAAAAAAAATATATATATATATATATATATAAAAATTTTTTTTATTTTTTTTTTAACTAAAAAGATAGGTGAATACATTTAGGCCAAGATTTATGAAGAAAGATTATTTGCAAAATTTTATAAAAAAAAAAAACTTATTTTTGGACTTTTTCATTTATATAGAAAAAAAAATAAAAAATCCCAGTGGTGAATAAATACCACCCAAAAAAAAAAAAAATATTTATCTGTCTCAAAAAAATACTAAAAAAAAATTTAAATTGTCATTCAAAGTGTGACGGCGCTGAAAGCTGAAAATTGGCCTGGACTGGAAGGGGGGTGAAAGTGTCCGGACTGGAAGGGGGGTGAAAGTGTCCGGACTGGAAGGGGGGTGAAAGTGTCCGGACTGGAAGGGGGGTGAAAGTGTCCGGACTGGAAGGGGGGTGAAAGTGTCCGGACTGGAAGGGGGGTGAAAGTGTCCGGATTGGAAGGGGGTGAAAGTGTCCGGATTGAAGGGGGGTGAAAGTGTCCGGATGGAAGGGGGGTGAAAGTGTCCGGATGGAAGGGGGTGTGAAAGTGTCCGGACTGGAAGGGGTGAAAGTGTCTGGACTGGAAGGGGGTGAAAGTGTCTGGACTGGAAGGGGGGTGAAAGTGTCTGGACTGGAATGGGGTGAAAGTGTCTGGACTGGAAGGGGGTGAAAGTGTCTGGACTGGAAGGGGGTGAAAGTGTCTGGACTGGAAGGGGTGAAAGTGTCTGGACTGGAAGGGGTGAAAGTGTCTGGACTGGAAGGGGTGAAAGTGTCTGGACTGGAAGGGGGTGAAAGTGTCCGGACTGGAAGTGGTTAAAAAAAAAAAAAAAAAAATTTTTTATTATTATTTTCTTTTGTTTGATAAACAGGGCACCAAAGATGCAGCAAGCAGGACTTTTGAAAATGCAGCACAGTGATGTGAACAGTTTACATAGGATTTAAAGGTGACAAATTTTCATGAGCTTTTGTTGCCCTTGAAAAGGTGTTTTTTTTTGTTTTTTTTTTTTTTATTTTAGTGCAGCAAAAGCGCATCAGTGTGAACAGGGCCTGGTGGAATGTGGTGTTGAATAAAAAAAAATATATATATATTATTTTTTGTTTTAAAGACGGTTACCCCAACTTTTCATATTCCTGATTATATGCCATGAGCTTATGTAAAAAAATAAATTAAAAAAAAAAAAAAAAAAGTATTGTGTTCTTTGTATTGCTTCCTGTGTGTGAAATTCCTGGTGTTCCTGCCAGTCCCTCCTTTTCTGACTGTGCTGTGCACAGCCTGCCTGTCCTTCAATAGCTACGACATGTGCTGATATGCCCTCTGTACAGCCATTACCTGGGAAGACCAGTGTGCTGCTGTTTCTACACCCACAGCTTTCTAAGCCGCTTACCTGGGAAGGCCAGTGTGTTGCTGTTTCTACACCCCTCAGCTTTCTAAGCCGCTTACCTATGAAGATCAGTGTGCTGCTGTTTCTACACCCTCTTGCTTTCTAAGCTGCTTACCTGGGAAGACCAGTGTGCTGCTGTTTCTACACACCCCCTGGCTTTCTAAGCTGCTTACCTGGGAAGACCAGTGGGCTGCTGTTTTTGCACCCACAGCTTTCTAAGCCTCTTACCTGGGAAGACCAGTGTCCTGCTGTTTCTACACACCTCAGCTTTCTAAGCCTCTTACCTGGGAAGACCAGTGTGCTGCTGTTTCTACACCCCTCAGCTTTCAAAGCCGCTTACCTGGGAAGACCAGTGTACTGCGGTTTCAACATACCTCAGCTTTCTAAGCCTCTTACCTGGGAAGGCCAGTGTGCTGCTGTTTTTCTACACACCCTCAGCTTTCTAAGCCGCTTACCTATGAAGATCAGTGTGCTGCTGTTTCTACACCCTCTTGCTTTCTAAGCCTCTTACCTGGGAAGGCCAGTGTGCTGCTGTTTCTACACCCCTCAGCTTTCTAAGCCGCTTACCTATGAAGATCAGTGTGCTGCTGTTTCTACACCCTCTTGCTTTCTAAGCTGCTTACCTGGGAAGACCAGTGTGCTGCTGTTTCTACACCCCCTGGCTTTCTAAGCTGCTTACCTGGAAAGACCAGTGTGCTGCTGTTTCTACACCCATCAGCTTTCTAAGCCTCTTACCTGGGAAGACCAGTGTTCTGCTGTTTCTACACCCCTCAGCTTTCTAAGCTGCTTACCTGGGAAGACCAGTGGACTGCTGTTTTTTCACCCACAGCTTTCTAAGCCTCTTACCTGGGAAGACCAGTGTGCTGCTGTTTCTCCACCCCTCAGCTTTCTAAGCCTCTTACTAGGGAAGACCAGTGTGCTGCTGTTTCTACACCCCTCAGCTTTCTAAGCCTCTTACCTGGGAAGGCCAGTGTGCTGCTGTTTCTACACCCATCAGCTTTCTAAGCCGCTTACCTGGGAAGACCAGTGTTCTGCTGTTTCTACACACCCTCAGCTTTCTAAGCCTCTTACCTGGGAAGACCAGTGGGCTGCTGTTTTTGCACCCACAGCTTTCTAAGCCTCTTACCTGGGAAGACCAGTGTCCTGCTGTTTCTACACACCTCAGCTTTCTAAGCCTCTTACCTGGGAAGACCAGTGTGCTGCTGTTTCTACACCCCTAAGCTTTCAAAGCCCTTACCTGGGAAGACCAGTGTGCTGCTGTTTCTACACCCCTAAGCTTTCAAAGCCGCTTACCTGGGAAGACCAGTGTACTGCGGTTTCAACATACCTCAGCTTTCTAAGCCTCTTACCTGGGAAGGCCAGTGTGCTGCTGTTTCTACACACCCTCAGCTTTCTAAGCCGCTTACCTGGGAAGACCAGTGGGCTGCTGTTTTTTCACCCACAGCTTTCTAAGCCTCTTACCTGGGAAGACCAGTGTTCTGCTGTTTCTACACCCCTCAGCTTTCTAAGCTGCTTACCTGGGAAGACCAGTGGACTGCTGTTTTTTCACCCACAGCTTTCTAAGCCTCTTACCTGGGAAGACCAGTGTGCTGCTGTTTCTACACCCCTCAGCTTTCAAAGCCTCTTACCTGGGAAGACCAGTGTGCTGCTGTTTCTCCACCCCTCAGCTTTCTAAGCCTCTTACTAGGGAAGACCAGTGTGCTGCTGTTTCTACACCCCTCAGCTTTCAAAGCCTCTTACCTGGGAAGACCAGTGTGCTGCTGTTTCTCCACCCCTCAGCTTTCTAAGCCTCTTACTAGGGAAGACCAGTGTGCTGCTGTTTCTCCACCCCTCAGCTTTCTAAGCCTCTTATGCAACAGAGGTCATGCGATCACTTTTGAAAAAAGCGTTTTGGGGTTTTTTGGGTTTTTGTTATCTACACAAATATTTTCTACATTTTTATTTTAAACAGGGTGTGTTGTTTTACAAGGTAAAGGTTCACATATACATTCCCCCCCTCCTGACCAGGCCATTTTTTGCAATACGGTGCTGCATTACTTTATCCTCTTGGCGCCGTTACCTCCTGGCCCTTTAAGAGTTTCAGGAGGTGGGCGGGGTTT